GCTGCAGACCCTGAATTGGGATACAGCCATAATCTCTCCAGTGTGTCCTGCATGGGTCTACCCAAGGCCTCCTCCCAGTGGGAGTCCTTTGTTGTGCTATGGGAGTTAGCCCTCCAAGCAGGATGTCAAAATGCCAATTTGCCAACTTTCATTTTTGAGTAGCGTAGCCTCATGTTTGATGTTAAAATACACAACCCAGTAAATGTTGGGGAAAAAATAACCACTGTGCACTGGTCTCATTTGAAGCACTGCCTTATGGTTCGACAGCTGTGGACTGTTCAACTGAAAATTGTATGGTTGTAGCTGTAGCCCAACCTCTCATCACCAGTTATGATTCTTCACATTAAATTTGGGTCAGTATGAAAAAGACGTCGATGTTTGATGTCTGGTTTGTCAGCTGTAGTGGGAAACAACACCCAGGCTCCTCTCTAATTTTCTTGCTCTCGTTTTGATCTCCAGTTTTGTAATCAAGTTCTTCTTGTGCCCTAGATTTCCTTTGTGTGCCAGCAAGACAGGCATCTGTTAATTCCACTCACCACCAAATCAACCTCATGCTTGCAAATATAGACTGCCACTGTTCACCGCCTTCTCTAGCATCAGTGACATATGTCATCACAACCCCATTCACCTGGAATCATCAGCCCTTCAACTCGACTGTCTCTTTAGAGGAAATAATCTGGGTTTAAACGTTTTATTGTAACACAGAGTCCTGCAAAGTCCACCAGTTTTAGTTCAGAAATATACCAGTATATGATAATTCAGTAATAATGCTTTTATTACACCTAGGCTGGACTATTGTAATTCATTATTCTCAATATGCTCGAAAAGCTGCATAAAAAGCCTTCAGTTGATTCAGAATGCTGCAGCAACACTGCTGACAGTGAATAGAAAGAAAGGATATTTCTCCCACATCGGCTTCTCTTCATCAGCTGCCTGTTAAATTTATTTAAAATCCTGCTCCTCACTTACAAGTTCTTGAATAATCGGACGCCGTCTTATCCTAAAGACCTTATAGTACCATATAACTCCAACAGAGCTTTGCTCTCAGACAGCTGGCTTACTCATGGTTCCTAGGGTATTTAAAAGTAGAATGGGAGGCACAACCTTCAGCTTCCAGGTCCTCTTCTATGGAACCAGTTTGGATTTGGGAGACAGACACCCTCACTATTTATAAGATTAGATCTAAAACATTCCCTTTTGATTAAGGTTATAGTTAGGGATATATTAGGTGACCTTAAACCCTCCCTTAGTTATGCTGTATTAGGCCTAAAATAGAACAGAATAGAATAGAACTGAACTGTAGCCTTCACTGCAACCTTCTGAATCCACGTAATATTAACCCTCCTGTCTTCTGTACACAAGTGAAGATTTTTATGGTTCTTGCCTGCAAGTCAACAAAAATCATTTTCTTTGGCGACTGTGCTGTGCTTCTGTGTGTCCTTGCTACCACATTCAGATTTTGAATGTAGATTTTGTTGAATATCATTCTGGTCCACGCATAAGACCTTTTAAAAACTCACCACAGACAGAGATACAACAGAAGGTTTCCTTTGAGTGGAGAGGATAGAAGCTCTTCTGTTATAAGAAGTGCCTGTTACTTTAGAAGAGTGCTCTATATGAGAATCATAAAGCACTGTATGGAGCTGAATTAGTGCTCCCATGTGCTACACAACAGGCTACCCTGTCTGTTTTTCTTGTGAGCGCTATGATTGTTTTGTAAGCACTTAAAAACAGGTCACGTGAGCCTTACTCATTGGCACATTGGCAAACTGTCAAAGCCTCACAGGGAGCACTTTTTTCCTAAATTGCTTCCCTCTAATAAATGCAGTCAGTGAGAAGTGGGAGGTATGGAAATCAGATTCTGTGCTGTGAATAAACCTCCAGACTACGTCTGTGTGTGTGAGTGTGTGTGTGTGTGTGTAACTATGCCTGAGGTTTTAAGGTAAACATCAAATTATCAATAGATGAATGAAAAGCCGCATCATTCAAACAATTTTCCAATTGAAAAGATAATATAAATATAATAATGGTATGAAAAACTGGAGCAATATGCCAGCACAGTAGATTTTTTTGACATGCTGTATATTCGCTGTAAAGCACACCCATAACATTCCCATTTTCATTTTATCCCTTTTTTATTTTACACAACATAACAACAGTACATGTTGTCTTTTTCTGTACAGAAGCTTTGCGTGAGCTTGTGACCAACACAGGCTGTATTATACCAGTGTCAGTGAAAAGCTCACAAGGTTCTCACGTTGCTTTTTTTCTTTGCTTTTTTTTTTAATACTTCGCTTTAAAAAATATCAATTTCATAAGAGGTTCATTAAAGTCTTCATCTGTCTGTAACATTTTGTCTTTATATGTCCAGAAAAGGTCTGTACTCCGCAGTAGGTAAGAAAGGCTATGTGTGAAATCTCTCTTCCTTAATCCGTCCCCTCATTCGTGGAGCCATGGTGGAGTCCTAAATCCGGTTAAAGTATCTGTTAGTGAGGGTCTGTTAGTGCAAAAGAAGGCACCGACTGCTATTCTCTTGCCACATTATGGATGCACATCTCTGTGAGCTTGTGAACATTAAGAATGGTGTGCTTTTCCCGTTTTTGTATTTTTTTAATTCCTCTTATTTCCTGTATTAATTCCCTTTTTGTGGTGTTTTTCAGATAAGGTGATAGTGAATCGGGAAATGACGTGGCGAGTCCATTGTCTTGTTTTTCTTTTGTGCTATAAAGTGGAACCAACGAGACAACTCGAGGACGCTACGAGACAAGGCAAGTTATCCACTCGCTGAATGATCGACTGCAAAATGGATACTGTTGAAGTGGAAACAAGGAAAAAACACAAAACTGTAAACTGTAAATCAAGTACAAATAACTGTGGAGAAAAGTTATGAAAACATTGATTATTTAAAAAAAAAAAAGCGCACACACGTTTACCAGAAACACAGGCATCCTCTCACACGTTTAGAAAGAAAATTCAAACAGGAAAACACACAGTAACAACAAGCAAAGTTTTTCGTGACACAAGCAGGCTTTTCACGCATACGCCTATAAACAAAACTTTGAGTCACACTGCACGCATCCACTCACACAAAGGACAAACAATGAATAAACCAAAGTTCATTTTATGGTCGCTGGCTCATTCCAGTTCAAACTGTGCTTTCTAAGATCCAGTCAGAGTCACACCGCCCTTTGTCCGACTCTTCGTCCCCATCTTTTGGGAGTAGCATACCGCTCATTGATTGGCTCCTTTTGTTCCGTATTACGCGCCCTATTTTGGGTGCTCCTCCTCCTCCTCCTCCCTGGTGGGCGGAGTGAGTTTTTGAGCCTCCTTCACTGAGTGAGTACCTCCTCCTAGCTCTGCTCCTTCCTCCCTCCTCTACAGGAAGAGTCTGATATCTGGCAGAAGAGGAGGCGGTGCGAGGAGCCCGGCGCAGGATGGGCGTCTCTCTGAATCGCACAGACGGGACCGGGCTCGGTGTGGCGATGGGGCCGAAGAAAGGGGAAGACGCAAAGGGAGGTGGTGGGGTCTGAGAGAGAGCGGTGGAGTTATTTCGGTTGGTGTTGAGGTTCTCCAGGGCACCGGGGGATGAGGAATGAAGGAGGGCGGAGGAGGCGGTGGAAGTGGAGGAAGGTGGCCGTGTCGAAGAGGCAGTTGGGAGGTTCTCGATGACCCCCTGGCCACTGGAGCAAGCAGAGCCAGGCTTAGTTGGGGCGGGCTTTCGCTTTGGCTTGTGTAGGGAGCCTGCGGTGGCGGTGGGTGATGCAATGCCGGCTTGAGCTCTATCTTCAACTGTTTTCTCTCGTTCCTTGGCTCCAGCTGTTGGGCTTCTGGCCGACCAAGCCTGGCTGAGAACTGATGTGGCTGTGGAGCAGTCAGGCAGGGAAGACTCAGAGGCCTGAGCTATTGTATCCTTTCTCCCACCTCCCGCTGCTGCAGCACCACTCCTCTTTGTGCCTCCTGAGAGGTCGTCTAATCCGATTGAACCATGTTTAGAGGAGCTCGGAGTCACGGTGCAACCCTGAGATTGCTGCCCATTGGTCTGTGAGTGAACGTTGGTCATTGACATTGAAATGCCTTTGCCACTCTCACTAGGGTTGCACACCTGAGGAAAAAGCATAGGGAAAAGGGAAAATTAGATCCGATTTTTCTCATCCAGAGTGCCTCGTTTAGTCCTTTACGTCTTCACCTGGTTCTTCCCTTTTAAAATTCACGTTGAGTCCAACCTGTTGGTCCCTGTATCGGGACTAAGTTGCTGTTGTAAATAAAACAAAACATGCTATGATATTTAAAAATTTACAGGAGACCTAATACCTCTATGACTACAACAGATGTAGCTTTAGCATCAGTTAAGGATACTTTAAAATGCTTCAAAATATCAGTTTATGTAGACAAATCATTGTAATGCTTTTATTTAAGCTCTAATTTACAGTTTTGATTAGAAAGATACAAAAAAGACCAAAAGATAAAAAATCACTAGATCATTTTGTGACTTTTTCTTGTTACATAATCACCATAACGACAATCATTCAGCTAAATGAAAAGCTCTCTTGCCTCATTCCCGCTGCCTTATGGCTAGACTGGACAAGAGCGACAGAGATAGACCCACCTTATATCGTATCATCAGGATGATAATAAAAACTAGAACCGAGGCAACTATTATCCCTCCGATGATAATGATCATGGTCCCACCCAGGAACTGAGACTGCATAAAATGACATCTCATGTACTCTGACTCGGTGGTGAACTGCACGCAGCCGACCACTCGCGTCGCTGTCAGAGAGGTGATAACGTCATCGTAGATGGCCAGGACGCAGAGGTCGTACTGGGTGCCTGCTGCCAGGTTGTTGACTAGGAAGTTCTTGCTTGATGGAGGGATCATTCTGTGGCAGGAAGACAGGGAAGGCAAAATGACAGTTCAACATGTGTGTCAGCAGTTTCTTGGCTTCAAGCTTCTTGAAGCCTTTTTGAGATGGCTAATATAGTCTACCTTAGTGGAAAACAGTAGCCTTCATAGAGAAACAAATAAGTAATAATAAGTGTTTGCCTGCCTAAGGAGTGCAGATAGAAAGTCAATACTAGTTAAATGCTTCTATGCATGGTTCCCGACAAATAAAGAACTAAAGCAGTGGCAATAGTGCCTAAGAGGCAGAATAGCAAGAATCATGAGCAGTTACATACAGCGGTAATTAGCATAGTCTATTCCCTTTCTGTGGCTGTTTTGGAGATTCAACATTTGTAAGTTGAAGGAAATAAAAATAATTAGCACTTTAAGAGATAGTTTAGGTGCAGTATCACAATTGCAACAAAATGCAACAAGGCTGAGTGGCCTCGCTATATTCAGTTGTTCTATTCTGTCCATGCAATGTTAAAAATAAACTAAACAGGGAGATTTTCATAAAAATATGAAAAGTACATGAAATAATTGCTGTGGGAGGACATTACTCTTTTTTATTTCAAATGAACCATCGTTCATAACCTTAAACCATTTTCTAACATCAGGTGAACTTCTGTCAGTTCTCTTTTGTACGACTGTAAGACGATGGGCTCCTCATGTCATCATAGTGAAAACACTGTGCAGAAAATATGCACAATCTAAATAATGAATATACCCACTGCCTTGTTTCTACAAACATGTGACACCATCCTCCAGAGTAATAAAACAGTACAGTGTATTTTTAAAAGAAGACAGGAATGCAGAAAAAAATCAAGAGTGACGAAAAGTGAAGTGAAGAAAGAAATGAAAGGATAATTAAATGACTTATTATGGCACAGAAGTTTTGAGCCAACAACCTTTGACAGCATGGACCTGCGACCATGCACAAGTATACTTAAACCGTTCAGTCTTTCCTCATCAGTTCTGACAATAAGGATGAATAAACAATGAATCATTTTGGATATTCTCTCGGACACTCGGCCACTTTGAGTCCAATTTGGTGCTCTTTACTGGACACTTGTCACCTTGACTGGACGTTTTGCATATTTGTCCTTCAGTTTCTCTAAAATAAAGTCTTGTCAGCGGTCCTGGAATTCGTCATTAAAATGATAATGAAATTCCTCATTAAATCCGAAGAGGGCAGCTAGTTCACAAGCTCGTGGTCGAGCGTGCACTGAGAGCAGCAGAGGGCTACTTTGGCCAGGTTAAAGCATCTGGTTTTGAGTTCGAGTTAAGCGAAGGTTAGAAGACATGTTAAGGTTTAATGGTTAGTATTAAGAGCTCGGGGATGAATTTAATGGCAGGTCATGACTATACCCTCTATGGAATAACAGCACAAGGCTTTAAGTGAATGTGAGTGCATGTGAGGAAGGGTATTCATGCGACCCAATGAATACTAATAGGATCATCTGAACAGTGGATGACCATGAGAATTCTACCCTTTGCTTCTCTTAATGGTTTTATCACAATAGTGGTGAACCTTGACTACACGTAAACACACATCCTGAAAATGCCATTAGTTCTATGGTGGGACACATACAAGGATGCTGAAGATAGCAGGTTAATGATAGGAATGAAAGTCACTGGTACCTACAAGCTCAAACACAAGCAGCTGCATTTGGAAACACATGCATCCACAGACAGGGATTAATTTCTCTATTAACTGCTGTGCTTGCTTTGGGCTTCGTTTGTGTGCATGAATGTATGTGTGGCTGTGTTCAATAGCCAGCAAAGCAGTAATATCTTTCTATAAAAAGCGTTTGTTTTCATAACTCCTGGTAGGTCTCTGCATTTTAACTTAAACTGTTCTTATAGGCATTTATAACATAAAGAGATAATAAGGTATTTCTTGATTATCTTTTGACAGCTCATACCAGCATTTCTTCTTTTAAAAAGTCAAAAGTTGAGACAAACCCTCTCATTTAATGGTTTTTCTTTATTTTTACTACTTCCTACATCGTAGATACATACTGAAGAAATCAAATATATGAAGCAAGATACATGATGACACCCAGCTCTACATTTCTTCTTTATCCCTCCCACCTCCCTCCCTCTCAAACTGTCTTATCGAGATTAGATCATGGTTCTCCTCCAATGTTCTTAAACTAAACAGTAATAAAACAGAAGTTTCACTTGTTGGTACAGCCTCTATCTTATCCAAATCCCACAGTTTTTCCATTAACACTGAAAGTTCTCCCACCCTCCCCTCAGGTTAAGAGTTTGGGTGTCATACTTGATAATACTCTCTCATTCCAGTCCCACATTAATTACATACTTCCACTTAGGTAATATTAACCGACTCCATCCCTTCCTTATTCCCCATGCTGCTGCCATCCGTGTCCATAGTCTTATTACATCCCGCATTGATTACTGCAATTCCCTCTTATTTGGTCTCCCTAAAAGGTCCCTTCAGAAACTCCAACTTCTTCAAAATTCCGCAGCTCGGGTCATAACTCGTACTCCGTCAAGGGCTCATATTACGCCAGTTCTACAGCAGCTTCACTGGTTGCCCGTAGAAGCCAGGATAAATTTTTAACTCTTACTTCTCACGTACAAGTGTGTCCATAAATCTGCTCCTTCCTATGTGTGTGACCTGCTTCATATCACCACTGTTTCCCGATCCTCATCTGCTATTCATCTTACTGTTCGTCTTACCACTATGGGGAACAGAGCCTTCAGTCGTTCTGCTCCTCCAGCCACTCTCTTCCTCCAGCCATAAGAAATATGACTCTCTTCCCACATTTAAGTCACAGCTCAAAACACATCTGTTCAAACTTATTCGCTTTAGCGCTGATTTTATCTGTTGTCAAGTTCTGCTTTGCAATTTAAACTTATTTTTATGTATTTTAGGACTATTGCTTCTTTTATTAATTTTGTTCTTCTGTAAGGTGACCTTGGGTTTTTGAAAGGCGCCCTCAAATACATCTATTATTGTTATTATTATTATGTAATTATGTAGCAAAGACAAAATTGATAAATAACTCTAAATATGTCTTATATTTTAGACTCCTTAAAGTAGCCACCCTTTGCTTTTTGACAGCACTCCAAATCCTTGGCCTTCTCTCAGTGCGCTTCAAGATGTAGTCAACTGAAATGGTTTCCATTTCACAGGTGTGCTTTGTCAGGGTTCATTTGTGGAATTTCTTGATTTCTTAAGGGGGTTGGGACCATCAGTTGTGTTGTGCAGAAGTCAGGTTGGTACACAGCTGACAGCTGTTAGAATTCATATTATGGCAAGAACCAATCAGTTAAGTAAAGAGAAATGGCAGTCCATATTTACTTTAAGAACTCAAGGTAGTCAGTCCAGAAAATAGCTAAAATTTTGAATGAGTTCCCAAGTGAAGTCGCAAAAACCAGCAACTGCTATGACGAAACTGGATTGCTGCGCCAGATATCCTGGCCTCCACAGTCACCTGACCTAAACCCAGTCAAGATGGTTTGGGATGAAATGGACCGCAGAGTGAAGGCAAAAGGGCCAACAAGTGCTCAGCATCTCTGGGAACTCCTTCAAGACTGTTGGAAAACCATTTCAGGTGACGACCTCATGAAGCTCATCGAGAGAATGCCAAGAGTGTGCAAAGCAGTAATCAAAGCAAAGGGTGAGTATTTTGAGGAATCTAAAATATAAAACATGTTTTGAGTTATGAAAATAAATGTCAGAAAAATAAAGAAAAGCCATTAAATGTGAAGGTGTGTCCAAACCTTTGACTGGTAGTGTATATTGCTTTTCGAGGTTATGCGGGTTTAAAAAGTCATCAACTTTCAACGGCAATGTAGGAAATTGTGTTTCTAGTTTTATACTATAGAATCTGTCAAAAGTCTCTAGCCCCCGTTTATTTGCTTTCAAATAGTCAGACTTCCTTGTAGTATTATTATTTTTATTATTATTTATTTATTATAATGTTTTTTTTTCTTCAGGCCTGCTGAGGTCTTTCAAAGTTTTGCTTTGGACATTGCTTTTGCCCCAGTCATTTTCAGTCCAGTTCTTGGATCACAAAATCTAGGCTGTTTAAATATAGTTTAAGCATATTTATCATAATCATAAACAGTTTTTGTCCACCTTTGTCTGTTAGAAATTTAAGTTAAAATAGGAAAATAAAACACTGCAGGGGAAATGCTGTTCTTCCTAAACAGTCTGGTGTTTTGTTGCTCCAAAGATGGAAATGTACATTTTCTGCTTTTACAATGGAGGCAGAAAAAATATGATTTTAAATAGTAAAAAAGCATTTTCTAGCGTCAAAACCAAACCGGGAAAAGAATAGGGAGGAATAATGCACTGGGCTCGAGGGCTTGTTTGCTTCTTTGCCATACATGAATCTTTCCAAGAAACCATTAGCTGCATGAATCCTCCTTTTTACAGGTACTAAATCAGAATGTTTCTTCATTAAAATATCAGCACTTTCTGGCCAATGAAATAAGGAAAAACTTTTTCATTTTCAGTGTGCAAGCAAAGCTATCACCATTTAGAGTTTATGTATTCAATCAACAATCAAGATGTTGAAAATCTGTTTGAGCTTTACTCAGCACACAAAAGTGCATTTTTTCACATTTTTATGTGTTTTTCCCTTACATTCCTTCTTGAGCTGTTAGCAGTGTGAACTCATCCAAAGTGACTCATTCATTGTGGTTAATTTCTTTGTGTCTGAGCTGAATCTTGCTGCCAGTCTTTGAAGCCCTACAGTGGGCAGATGATTGCCTTGGCCGAGACTATTACACTAATCTATCTACTCTGCTCTGCCAAGCCCTCAGCCCAGGGCGCCTCTGTGTGAGTGTGTGTGTGTTTCAGGGTTTCATTACACTTTCATTACACAAGAGAAAATGTCAGCTTGGATGTTTCTCTATGAGTATCCATTTATGTACTTATATGTGTCTGTACATGTATGTAATCATGTGTGTGAGTTCCATATTCTTTTCCACTGCAAGTCTACTATTCCTGCTGTTTGTCAC